ATATGTATGTATACATGCATGCATACATGCATGCGTGCATTCTACATGACATTATTCGTATTAAGTTTCCCTATTTCATGATAAGTAATATTGCATTGTATTGCAGCAGACTGTCTTTATTATATGATATTAAATGCATGATGTGATACTTGCAATATAATATCATATACATATACATAACATCTACATATGCGCACATACAAATATACGTGTATACATATATACACATACATGTATGTTTACACATACATACACACTCTGTCTGTATGCACATAAGCCTATGTAGGTATGTATGTATGTATGTATGTATGTATGTATGTATGTTTTTCTTTATTTACGTAAGTATGTACATATGTGTGCATTCATGTGTGTATGTTGGTTTGCATGCAAATCTGCTGGTTGGGTTAATGGTGTGCCTGTTTTCTTTGTTGTGTACTTCCGTAGATTGACAGACCGACAATAGTTAGATGGATCGATAGATAGATTTTTAGATGATAGGTAGCGAGATAGACAGACAGATAGATCAAAACACGGTAAAAGGACAGATAAACAGATAGAAGGATTGATTGATTGGTTGCTTGATATATATCTACAGATGGATACAGATAGACAGATCGACAGACAGCCAGCCAGACAAACAGATCGACAGGCAGATATGTAGAATGGTAGACGGGTGGGTGGGTGGGTGGGTGGGTGGGTGGATGGATGGATGGATGGATGGATGGATGGATGGATTGGGAAGAGAGAGAGAGAGAGAGAGAGATATATATATAAATAAACAAGTAAATAGAAACATATATAATAACAGTCAAGCGCACTCACATCCATGCCCATCTTTAAAACTACATCCATTTCTAGAGCTTTTTCTATATATCTATTACTATGTTTCTACATCTATATCCATAACTATATCAAGATCTGTATCTATAGGTACATGTATACCTATATATATATATATCTAGATCTATATCATTAGGTCGATCTACATATGTCGGCCTGTACTGTAGACCTGCGCAAACCCCTAAACCATAAACCCTTCTAACCCTAAACCCCTAAACCCTAAACCCTAAACCCTAAACTCAACTCCTAAACTCTAAACCCTAAACCCTAAACCCTAAACCAAACCCTAAACCCTAAACCCCAAAGCCCTAAACCCTAAACCCGAACAAAAAGGGGGCGCCGGGATTCTCAGGCCCGGTCTTACGGCCGAGCAGAAGCTGCTGGCAAGGCGCCTCCAGGACTGCAGGGCTTTTTTTGGTTTTGGGGTTTCGGTTTTAGGGTTTAGGGCCTTTAGGATTTTAGGGGTTCTAGGGTTTTGCGGTTTTGGGGCTTTAGTGCTTTAGGGGTTCTAGGGTTTTGGGGTTTCGGTTTTAGGGTTTAGGGCCTTAGGGTTCTAGTGCTTTGGGGGTCTTAGGGTTTGGGTTCGGAGGCTTGGCTTCGCATGGGGTTTGAGCTCAGGGTCTCCGGTGTTTGGGTTTGAGTCGTGGAGTTTATGGGATGTTGGCACCAGAGCAAGCGAAGGGGTCAGCTAGAGAAGGTGCAGCAAGGCCCGCGGCGTGTAGCTTAGGGTTTAGGGTTTAGGAGCTGTGTCATATACCGTCTTTTACACAATCGTGCTTTTACAGAAGCATGAAGGCATCATGTGGAAGTGATTAGAGGAAGGTGTACGTGCCCTTTGACTTTGGGCACCATATCTTACCTCATCTAATGCTCTGCCAAAGCTGTGCCAATTTGGCAGCTGAGCTGAAAGTTCCTGCAGCAACGCATGAGAGCTAAGAGCCCGGAAACATGCTGCCACCTGGGATACTGTGGGTCAAGCTCAGGGCTCAGAGCTGCACAGACAAACCGCCGCATGCAGCCATGTAGCAGCCCTCAGCTGTAAACTTCACAAGCTTCGTCGATGGCTATCTGGCACAGCAAAGACCCACCCCAAACCTGACACCAAAGCCCCATACCCTGCATCATACCCTCAGCCCCTGAATCCCACAAATTCACAAACCTTACACGTCAAACACCAAACCCCCAAACCAGAAACCCCCCCAATACCTGAGATTGACTATCGTACGCACAATTCCTGCTTTTTGGTCAGCGGCGCCATGGCTCGAGCATGGAGGCGTCTCGTCGCAGCTCCCCAGGCTTTACTCGTGCCGTGCCCGGCACAAGAAATTGCAGTGGGTGCATGGGAAAGGGGGCTGTAGGGATAAGTTAACCCTAAACCCTAAACCATGGGAAGGGGGCTGTAGGGGGTAAGTTAGGGTTCGGGGTTTTATGAAGTCGGTTTAGGACTTCAAGGGGTTGGGGGAGTAGGTTTCTAGACCTTCCAATTTCCCGCAAGTAAGGAACATACCTTGTATCATATCATATTAAGGAACCTACTAACTACTATGATTTATGGTAGGATTTTAGGGATTTTCCTTTTTAAGCACCGGCATTCCGAAAATTCTGTTTAGGACCTTTCGGATGGATTCTGCTTCTTTCTCATGGGTTTTTGCTAACACTTTCCACTGCATTCTGGTGACATCTTGGCACTGCATAGGAAGGTCGGGGTTGTTTCGCGCAGAGATCCCGAGCGCTCCGGAAAAGCCCCAGACTTCGAATCTTACCCTGGACGGGTTCAGGGTTTAGGGCCTATAGGGGTTTAGGGTTTAGGGTTTAAATTTAGGGTTTGGCCTTACGCCAGTATGCATGAAGCATACAAACTCATGCACCCGGCTTGTCCCAGTCTCTATGTGCGAAGCTCCACTTTCTAAGCCCTGCACTCGATTACGCGAGCGCTGGTCAAATAAGTCATACACGACCTCTTTTGTCTTAGAAGTCTCAAGGCCGCGCCAGCTGTCTCAGTGAGCGCGCTGGGACTGAAGCCAAGTTTCTGCAGCTCCCGTGACAAGGCGAAGGCAGTGCCCAGGCTATCTTAAAAGTCTTAAAAGCTCGAAGTTGTGGACTTTAGGGGTTGAGGGTTTAGTGTTTGCGGTTTGGGGGGTATAGCGTTCTGGGTTCCAGGGCTTGAGGGTTCAGGGCGCTCGCGGGTGGTTTGGGAAGATCCTTCTCTGGCGAATTGTTGGGTGTTGGAAACTCCCACGGCCAACCCTGAGCCCTGAACCCTGGTACTTCGTCCCACGCTCCCCCCTGAAAGCCGGCAGTGGCCGAGTTACGGACTGAGGCGAAGTTAACGATTCTAAGGTTTCTGGTAATAATACTAATAATACTAATGTTACTAATAGTAGTAATAATAGTAATAACAATAATAGTAATAATAATAATCATGATTCTAACGTTTCTGGTGGAAGGTCTGAGCTTTGCGAACCTCAGGCTTGGGGTTTGGTTGGGTTGAAGGTGCTTTGTCCCATCAAGGATCCATTGCGAACCCTTCCCTGACCTAGACCAGATGGCCTCAAGCCCGAAACCCCTGATCTGGATGTCTGAATCCTCAGCCAGTCCGGCTGCAAGTATGTTCGAATATCACCAGTATTAAGACCCCTAAACGGCCCTAAGCCCTAAACCCAAGCCGCTATCTTGTTGCCATGAGGCAGCCGACAAGCAAGCAGCCTCCAAGCGACACTTAAGCGGACGGGTGCTTGCAGCTTGAGGCTTATAGGGCTTATACTCCTTTAAGGGCTTACCCATAGGCTCCATAGTAGTTCCTTTTCGGAGTTACCTTATAGGATCCGAAGTATAAACCACAAAAAGGAACTACTTTGGAGCCTACGGGTAGTGCTTCAGGGTTCAGGGTTAAGGGTTGAAGGTCGGGCCTGATCATGGGCAGGAGACCAAGAATAGAAGGGTGAAATGCTGGGCAAAAGAAGTCTGGCAAGCAGCATCCTGAGCTAGGGCCGAGAAAGATAGCATGTCCAAAGTGCCGACGTGAAAAGGCATCAGATCATTAACTATTATTTCACGCACCCGAGATTACAATGAACCAGAATCTGGGTTCTTGTTAGGAAATGTAGTATAAGTTACCATACTATAGATCCCATTATGGTAACTTAAATAAAGTCCCTTGACAGGAACCCAAGAAGTCTGGTTACCGATCCAAGCAGAGCTTGCCCACGATGCCTTCATCTCTGAATCCCAAGGTCCCTGAAAGTCTGCACGTCAACTCGTCGGCTGAGTTGAGTTTGTTGGTGTTTACCTGTTGCTACTGCTATGCCTATGACTACTACTATTACATTGCTATTACTACTACGATTCCGACTGCTGTAGGGTTTCAGGACATTTGGAGTCTCTCGCTGTGCACGGGCCTAGACCTTCGATCCTGAAGAGCCATAACTCGGCTCTCAAAGCTGTGGGTGCTTATGTCAGTCAGACATTTTAGGGGTTTAGGGTTTAGGGGTGTATATCTTGGTTTAGGTATTATAGCTCATTCTAGGTAGTTTATTATAGTATGTTCCAGTATGATCATGCAGAGCATGGGATGCGACAGAAGGGCCCCAGCAGATCCTGGCGCCTAAGCCAAATCCATGAAGCCCCAATCCCCATGCCCTAATTACCAAACCTCCAAGCACAACGCAAACCTCATTCTCCTAACCCAAACCCTAAGCCCCCCAACCCTCAAAGCCCCGAGACCCCCAAACTTAGCACACTAGAAACAAACCCTAAACCCTAAACCCTAAATCGAGTGAACAAGGCTTTCTGGATCTCCGGCACATCGCAGGGCTGCACGAAGACGCTGCCTTGCAGATTTGACCACTACGGCCCGGAGCTTACGCGGGCTGCGGGAGTCAGGGCTCTTAGACGAGGCCATGAGGCTAGTGGTGCAAGGGTCCAGGGCTTAGGTCTACACTAGAAGGCTAGTTGCTGAGGGATTGCGGCTGTAAGTAGACGGTGAGGGTCAGGGTCAAGGACAGGGGCCTGTGATCGCGGCGTGCATGAGGCTTACAGACACAGAACAGCTGGGTATACTGCCTAGCTTACATCTCGTCCCCCCTTAACTAAACCCGGGCCCAGGTGGCGTTATCATCAATCCCGATGGTGTTCCCAAAGAGGAGAGCAGCTTTCGGGAGATGCTGGCTGCTCGGCGGAAGCGGGCAGAGCGAGGGCCTTGGGATTTATTCTGGCGCTGGAAAGGTGTTGGGCCGGCTTAGATTCCAACACGGTCAGATGTTTATGTACCTACAATTTTATATATATATATATACAGATAGATATATATATATATTCATTCATTCAGGGTTTAGAGAGTCTGTGGGATTGTATAATTACCCCGTGCCTTGAGGTTCAGTCTTGGCATGTCCCTGTCCGGTTCAATGGGTTTCCGTGGTAGCACGATAAGAAGAAAATAACAAGAACACAAACACAAACGTTGTCATGAAAGCCGGATCAGAAGCAACCATTAATGATAACGACATTCAGGCATAAGGATTTCTTTACGGTCCTTTCATAAAAACCATACGATATCGTGAAGAGCTCCTCCTAGGACATCTCCCACTTGAGAAAATCACAAACCTTGATGTTAAGCTTTCTGACCCCGACGGCACAGTTCTAAACCCTAGACCCGAAACCTTAAACCCTAATCCCGAAACCCGAAACCGGAGCCAGCTTCACATATCCTCACCCAGGATTCAGTTCCTATAGGGGCCTTAATAGTTACCTATTTTATTTTGGGTTCCTTATTATAGTTTTTGTATCCCAAAACCCTATTCTAATTATTAAGGCACCTATATTATATTATGTGTCTCGAATCATACCGGCCCCGGGTGCATCCTCCCGGGAGCTCTAAAGTAAAGCTTCCCAGCAGAGGGTTGCAGGGGCTTCTACACAGAGCTTGCTGCTCGCATCTGAACAGACTCGAAACTGGCGAACACAACGGCAAGCTTAAGTGTCAATGCCGTTTCGTTTCTGAAATTACAATAACATGCCATGCTCCTCGCTCCGGTGGTCCTGGTACGGATTCTGCTCGGGCATGTTGCGGGCGTTGCCGGGCCCTTTGGCTCTTGATCTTCCTCGGCAGGGCGCTTTGGAGCGCCGGATGTAGGAGCAGTTTGGTTTAGAGTTTAGGGTTCAGGGTTTAGGGGCTTAGGGGTTTAGGGTTTAGGGGGTGCTTTTGTTCTTTCGTCTCGCGCTCCGACGGTCATGGACTGTTCGGCAGTAACAGAAAACACGCCGTGCAATGAGAATCGCAAAGAACGTGTCTGTGTGGTTTTCCTCTTAGTCGCGGTTCCTTAAATTGTAACTATATACTACAAATAAGGAGCCCAAAACCCTATTCTATTTATTAATGCCCGTACATTAGGTCCCGGTCATATCATAATCGCGGCACCAAAGCACGTGTTCATTTCCTTGCGATGTCAGCACAAAGACTGGGAATGAGAAGATAATCAGCACCCTTATAGCTCCCGTGTAGTATAGTACCCTTATAGTACCCCTTGAAGGAACCCTTTAAAGGAACCCTACAGGGTACAAGAGCTGAGGCTTCATCGCTGGAGGAGTGGCAGAAGGAAAAGAAGCGTGGAGTGCCGGGATCTCAGCTTCGAGACTTCAGAATGCAACCGAGCTTTAAAGCCCTCGGCAGAATTCCAGCTTTTAGGGTTTAGGGTTTAGTTTTTAGGGTTTAGGGTTTAGGGCTTAGGCGACAGGGTTTAGGGTTTAGGGTTTAAAGGGGGAGAAAGGCCAGGAAAGGCTATTCAGGTTCACGACTTCAAGGTTCTAGCAGGGGTCTGGCTCTTGAGGCTACTGCTTGTAATCTCAGAGTCACGAAATCAGGGTTCCTTCAAGGGTACTACAAGGGTTCAGGGGCTTAGTAGAGGAGCCTGGTTCCATAAAGCCCCTGGGTTGAGCCAAACGTGAAGCTGATGCAGAGTTCCCATAAAGCTGCCCACCTGAGACGACTGGATTCGCACTTTGATCTGACCAAGTATTGTAGGCGTTCTCAATAACTACTTGTGGAAACGGTTTCCTGTAAAGCTCTCTATAAGGGCTCTATGATACAAGGACCTTCACAACCTTGACTCATTGACAATTGATTACAACGGAGTTGGGGGGGGGGTATGTTCTGCTCTCATACTACACGAACTCTAAGCGGACACGACCAACAGTTCCTTCGACCCCCAGATAGACCAGAAAGCATAGAATACAACTGGAGACAGTGGAGAAGTCTGTGCGATATAGCCTTGCCTGATGGCGAGCCTTGGGAACCTCAATCCTAGATCCTTCCTCGCCTTTAGGTGGCTTCACCTGAGTATCGATGCATCGTCGCTGCCCCTTGCCATGAGAAGTTTGGTCGGCTGCCAACTCACTTTCCCCACCATTCTTGCTAATACGTTTAATGGCTATCAAATCCCAAGCTTAGGATTCCCATCGCCACCAAAGAGTTTGGCTTCGAATTTCACCATGCTGCTTGGCAGGCAGCAATCAGACAGTTGCAGCTAACCGCAATGTCAGGGCCCTTCGTAGACAGGCGTTCCGTTGTTGTCGAGTATCTGAGGCAGAGCCGGATCATGTCATGATGACGAAATGGCAGCTTGGCTGCTGTCCAGAACAGCTTTTTGAGGATTGCGTGTCGGCGAGATGGATTGCCCAATAGGCAGGCAGCTGCAAATCCAATTTCTGCACGAACTGTGGCCGACCCGACGTCAGCGTCAGATCATGTCGTGACAAGAGTCCAGGGCAGAGCACGCCATTGCCGCCGTCATTACTACGGTCAGCATCAGCAATAGCCGTCATCACCCTATATTTGGAGGGTTTATAGTAAGTGCAAAAAAAGCCGCTGATAGCAGCGAGCTGATGGCAGGGATAGTCGTCGTCGTTGTGCTGTCGCCGTGTTTGTAGTGGGTGTCGGTCGTCGTCATCTTAGCCCAGCCGGCCCTGCTCAAGCCACAGTTGTCGTCGCAGTAGTGGTAGTGGTAGTAAGGGTTTAGGGTTTTGGGGTTTAGTAAGGGTTTAGTCTTCGCCGTCGTCGTAGCAGCAATTAATGAGTGCGGAGTAGCGACAGAACAGAGATTGTTCGTGTCATGCGCATATGTTGAGGTTGCCGACGGATGCTCCCAACACACTGCCTGCCAACGCAAGCCACACCATCGGCGTGGGCGCCGTCGTTACAAACTCCGAGGCCGTGAGTTATGCCACGTTCCAGCTGTGAATTTTGTCTTATCTTGGGGTTTGGAAAGAAGGACTGTTTTCGGGGAGGTAGCAAGCAAGCTAGCTGCACACTGCGAAACCAGGGGCGGGTATTGCGAGCATTTGCAATCTCCCAGCCCCGAAGCTTGAACCGCTCATAAAGCCGAAAGCACCAAAGTGGTAAGCCATGAACCATCATGAACCCTAAACCCTTCCAGCAGAAAGCTGAACCCCCTGGGCCCTGGGCATTGTACCCTGAACCGAAGCTGCGCAGATATCTACGCAGCCACAGCTGAAATATTGGAGCCCAAAAAGTCCTCCCAGGGGCAGGTCCTCCTCGTCCGAGAGCGATCCGGGCCGGCGGGGCGATCTGGAGTGTGGAAGATTCCCACAGGCATGGTGGACGCCGGAGAGGCGCCTGGGGCCTAGGGCCTTGCATCTCTGTTGGGGTTTAAGAGCTTTGCGTGTCTTAGAGTTTCGGCTGGGTTTTGGGTTGTAATAGGCTGCCAGCGCCTTGTTGACAAAAGTCTAGACAGCGTCCTCTCACAAGTGCAAACTATTGTACCATGAGGTCTTGGAAAGATGGTGTGACGTAAAAGGTGGCCTCATGCAATCGTGGCATACATGCACCCAGAGTTGATCCTTGAGAAGTGCTCAGCGGACTGCTTGTGGATTAGTGTACGGTGCGATGTTGGTGTTTATGCGACGAGGACTTGCACGATGCAGCCGTCCGCGAGGTCAAGGAGGCCGAAGACATCAGGTTTAGCTGACCGAGCCGCATCTTCATCGTCATTATCCAGATGGTCCTGGTCATCAGTATTCCTTTCTCCATCATCATCACCAGCAGCAGCATCACTATGATGATGATGATGCTGATGAACCATCATCATCTTCTTCTTCTTCATCATCATCATCGCCATTTTCACATGTCTTCCTCGTCACCACCGTGGATATGTTTGCGTCCTGCAGTGCTGCAGCAGGTCGCTAAAGGTAGTCATAGTCAGATTGTCAGAGAGTCAAACTGAAGTGCTGAAGCATAGCTGCTGAGACTTGACTAGCATGCATCGTTCAGGGAAGAGGATTCTTGCCACATTTTGGCTATTTGGTGCAGCCTTTAAGAAATGCATCTTGCACACATCCAGCCCGCAGAAGCACGTTGCAGGAGACGGGCATCGACGCCAAGTTCGAGCATTTCGGAGCATTCACCATGAACCACCGCCGCTGCCCAAGCTTCAGGGCCATTTATGCTGGACGTTCTGGCAATGTCAGGGCAGGTAGTTGCTGGTTGATAAGAGCGAGAATGTGAGCAAAGGTGCATATGAACTTGTTATTGTTCTTCTCGTCTCTGTGTGTGTGTACAATATATATATATATATATTTGTGTGCATGTTCTTATATGTATGTATGTATGTATGTATGTATGTATGTATGTATGTAAGGTATGTATGTATGTATGTATGTATGCATGCATGGATGTATGTATGTATGTATGTATGTATGTATGCGTATGTGTATGCGTATGCGTAAGCGTATGCGTAAGCGTATGCGTATGTGTATGCGTATGTGTATGCGTATGTGCACGTGTACGTGTACGTGTACCTGTACGTGTACGTGTAGGTGTAGGTG